CTGTCCAAAGGTCTTTTAGTGCACAGGAGGCCTTAGCGACCATCGGGGAGAAAATGTGTGTTGAGCTGAGTCAGTGTGTAAGCCAACATGGCTACTCTCCATTTTCACCCGACCGAAAGAACATTCTGAAAGGACAAATCTCCGCTACCATCCGGCCAGACAACACAGTGCGCAAGCTGATGGGTAAAAACAGTGACACTTATCAGGATTTTCACAGCACAGCTTGTGGTTGACTGTGGTGCTTTATGTACGCATTTATTTATCTGAGGTGTCCCCTCCTCTGCTCTCCTCTCCTCTCCTCTCAGACTCTCGGGTTCAGAGCTACCTCCTGGCTTCCCTGGAGTCCAGTCAACATCAGACCCCTCCTCTCCCAGGAGGCCTGGTTCCAGTCAGCAGGGAGCTGAAGGAGCTTGCTGTTCGCTTTAGTCGCCTTGTCAACTTCAACAAGCTGGTCTTCTCCCCGTTTTACCAAAAGATTCTCCGCAAAATACTGACCGAAGGGGAGAGTCTCTCAGAGTAAGAGCAATGTGGAGACTGGTCTGTCATTTTGCCATTTCCCCTCACTAGTAACGGTTAAGATTTAGATAAAAGTGTCAAGGAAGCTGATCCGTATTGGGGGGGGGGGGGCCAACTCCGCAGGCCGTGCACCTTAAACCGACAAAAAACACTGGCTACCGTCACAGCTGCATTAACTCACAGTGTTGCTTATTGATCAAATCCAGGCCTCATGAAAGACCTTGCATTAAGTTGTGTTCAGTATTACTGGTAGGGCTGGGTATCAATCGAAAGAGTTCAGTGTCCTAGCCAATACAATACCTGTGTTTTAGAACCCACACTAAAATAATACTTAGTGATTACCATATTTTGCAGAGTATAAACACATTTCTTTCTACAAAAACTGTTCTCGTGCAGTATACAATTAACAAAACAATAAAATTCTAAAATATCTCATTTAAAATTAAGTCAGCAAGACAAAGTCCTTTTATTTATCAAGTGTCTCACAGTAACATATCAGTCCTAACTGGCCAACGATTCTCAGAGTGACACACATTTGGTCCTGTGTTTAGGTCTAGTAGTATTTTATCAATGTTCTTAAGCTAGGAGATGGCACCTATCTCTGCCGATATATAGGAGTGTTCCAGAGGTGTCTCAACCTGTCAGGAGTTGCCACAAGATGGCATTCAGGCGGGAGACATTCGGATACATTCCATGGAAGAAGAGACGTCTTGAGAACACTTGTTGACAATAAGCTTATTAAAGGAACAGTTTGACACTTTGGGAAATATGTTTATTTGCTTTCTTTGTTGAGAAGATCAATACCACTCATGTTTGTATGGTAAAATGTAAGGCTACAGCTAGCAGCCGATTAGCTTAGCTTAGCACAAAGACTGGAAACGGGAAAACAGCTAGCCTCGCTCAGTCCAAAGGTTAGAAAATCTAACTATCATTACCTCTAAAGCTCACTAATAAACATATTATATCTTCTATATATCTGTTTGCTTCAATCGTAAGTTGTGGTTTTAAAAGTGGAGTAAACAATTCTGGAGAAATCCATCACCATGACAGATTCCTCGATACAGAGCGAACAACAACACATCAAGTAATGTAACTAATGTTAGCTATGTTGTGGGTTAGCAAACTGTCGCTAAAGCTAAGGAAACATGCAGAGAGGACCCGACGTTCTCTGAGCCATCCTGCTGCTAAAGCTAACATCACAACAACAGCATGTCTTGGCGAACTAGAATGTAAACTGAATGTCTGTGGGCAAGTCATTTAACGCTCCCTGACAACATCGTGGCTATAACGGCTGGAATAGTGTTGTGTTGGCCGGGTGTGGGCCACTTTGTTTGTTTCCCATTTACAGAGCCAGGGCTGTGTACAAACACGGATTTTGTTTCAGCACACACACAGAATGGACAGCTAGCAGACCGTGAGGAAATATTAGCTGAATTCAACAAAACAACGTGTACTGGATTAGAAATGCTTACTCCACCTTTAAGTGGGTCATTTGCCAGACTGTTGCTTGGGGAGCAGTGGCTTCTGTTGGCCTAGTAACCTCACTGTGTCGACAAGACTGCAGGAAGTTACTGTACCTGATCTTTTCATCGTACTCTGCAAGAAAGCAAATAAGCCTATGTCCCAAAAAAGCTGAACTATTTCTTTAAAAGATACCATTTTGACAGACACTCAATCATTTTCATGAGTCATCTTGCTGGGGATGCAAAGGAGAACACATGCTCTGCAGAAAATACAACCAACTACTTCTGCAGTAATAAAGCATTTGATTTTTCTCAGCAGTGCCACAGATAGACTAATGCATAGATTAAATCAATTTCCTCACCACTCTATTTTGTTACATCTCCAAAGAAGTTGCGACATTTCCCTCCTTGTGTTAGGCCACACAAGATTACAAGAAATGTAGTAACACATAGCTTGGGTAACTATGTTACCTGCTGATCAAGCATTCCCTAAACACATCTCCTCCAACAGAATGTGCATGCATGTCCCTGCCTGACCAGCATCTTCTGTAAACTCATAACAGGTAAAACACCCCTGGTGCTCTCCTAAATACTGGCAGAAATGGGAGTCATTTTCTAGAATAAGAACATTAAGAAAATACCTTTTTACTCCAGAGGAAGGCAGACCAAATGTGCATCAGTCATATAATTTTTGGCTGGGACTGATTCCCTACACTCACATTTGATAAAAACAAACACTGGCAAAGTATTTAGTAACAGCTTTTAATACTTGACAATTAGCAAACTTTTATTTCTTTTTCCCCAAACAGTTTTTATTGATTATTCACAGTGGTTAGTCAATGGTGTAGCGCACACACAAGTAAAAGAGGAGACTGCATGGTGTCTTTTATACTGCTGTTGTAAGGAAATATGGTGGATACAAAGACTCTTTACACCTTTACAAATGTTCTATTCATTAGCCTTAAAATCAAATAATTCTTATTCAGGCTTCTCAGATTTGCTTGGTTACAGTAATAGTAAAAATATTATTTCCCAAAATGTTGATCCATTTATTTAATGAGCCATAGCTCCAAATGTGACCAAAATCATAACTTTTCTAAAAATGAACAGGCAACAAGTGGGGTCCTCTTAAAACAAGAGTCTGTGAATTACTTCCTACAGATTTTTAACTCTGCTGCACAGCAATATAAAAATAAAGTGTGCGCAGACTTTTTGTATCCACTGTATGTGCACAAAATACAGATATTTTACAGTTTGTTAGATAAAAGGAAAATGAACTGAAGGGAAGCCAGATGGCTTGTGGCCAACTTGAACTGCTGCTCTTTTAATTGTTACTTATTTTTACTTATCTTATTTGTTTACTTATTATTTTCACTTATTTATAACATAACACATTTCGGATGGTTTATAAGACGTTTAGAATATTTTCTTTTGACAAACACTTTGCTTGGCATACATATTTTACACACTCAACTAATCCCTTGTAACATTTCTACACGCCTGCGGGCAGAATGATGTCGCCTATTCCCCAAATGAATAACACGTGTTCATTGATGGTCAAATTAGTTACACCGGTATTTGTCTTTGAATGTTCATCCAACATGCCAATAAAGCATCGTTTGTCCCACACACCAGAGTCATGTCTTTAATCCCTCAGCATCTTGTTTGTTTAATCTTTTTGTTGGCCTGCTCAATCCTCAAACACTTTTTTTATTATTGATTTTCTTGGTTTAAACGGTGACAGCCACTTCATCCAGCATGTGATTTACTAGCTTACTATTTACCATCAGTCTGACAGTGTACTCCTGTTTCACTGGCAGGTTCTCTGACTAGTCTAACTCCAAAGACCATCTGAATATCATGTGGAAACAACTGAGAGGACCCATTATTATCTTCACCAAACTGCTTCCGTGTAGTTTGCATCAGAGACACTAGGTGGAGCTAGACCTCCTGATATACAGTTGTATCATTAATTTAATTTAATAGCAGCAGAATATGCAATAACTACATAGCAGCCCCTAACAACCAAACAGAGAGTTGTTACAGCAACTTTTTAAATTGCAGAATTTTATTGGCAATAACATTTCGATGGCAGACCATTGACTAAAGTATTCCCGTATGTGTTCGAACATGTCTGCAACAAGAACCATATCAAAATAAGAACAATAAAATAAGTGCCACAACATGACGAGACAGGTAAGCCAATGAGACAAAACTATTGTGGTTTGTAGTGTAAAGTATTACATTTTAACATGGTCTCTTGTACCGCTGGCATGTCTATCCTGAATAACAATGATGTGCTTGTGTTTGAGATGTCAAATATTTTTGTCTTTTGTTATAATAATGCCTGAGGCAGGATGTCTGTGACCTTTGTGACCAGCTGACTGTGGCAACCGTACATGGCAAGATGCAGGTGCCAACTGCAGTCCTGAGGCGTGTGCCTGGTTCAAGGGTAATAAAAGGACTAACAGGAGTAAAAGCAAGTGAAGAGTGTAAACTCAAATTTGCTGTATTGTCATGACTGTAATTACTGTCACAGCCAGTTGTACATTTTTCAATGTATTATAAGTCAGAAAAAGAAGAAAGAGAAAGTGCTCTAGTGGCCTGTACACTTGGGGTAAATGTGGTACATCTGCAACAAACTTAAACAAATGACATCAAGCTGCTTTTGCATTACATAACAATGAAAAATCATTGCAAGAAATAAAATAAATATATAATAAAAATATACAAATGGTTGGATTGACCTGTTTGAGGTTCTGGGTCAAAAATGTTGATGGGCTCCTATACACTCTCCATCTTACATTCTCTGTACATTGTATGCACGCTGTTGCCTCCCAAGTTCCTATTATCAACACAACCGGCTAGAGATGGCAGCTTTATTACAGGACCAGACAGTGAGAAACAACCAGCTTCCCAGTGCTGATTTAGTACTGCACTCTGCAAACACAAGGAAAACTAAAATAAAGGGTTTCTGTTCAGTTCAGTTCAATGTGCTTTATTGGCAGGGATGGTTAAGTTAAACAATGTTGCCAAAACACTTTGCAACAAAATCAAAAAGTTTACATTTGAATTTAACATAACAAGAATAAATGCAATCAAGACAATTCAATTTAACAGCTCTAACAAAAAGTTACTAGCAGCTAAGATCCAGCCACAACAGTGGGCAATAATACACAACCTCTTCCGTTGATGTTCCCTTATGAATTTGCAATAATGAAATTTCCAAAAGCCAGCTGACATGTAGTGAACATATAGATGAGATATAGTTTAACAATCCTCTATAGGCCTAGGTAGGCAGATTTTGAAGGAGCTCAGTAAATAAATAAGAAATATTAAACAAAGATCAACAGATGATTAAATAAACACATCATAAGAAAATGTTTTGAATAGCATATCTAAATGTTTCTAATGGAGCGAAATATGTTTTACTTTTCACAGTTGGACAGAGACCCTCCTCTCCCTCTGCCCCCCACTTCTAACTCCCTCCCCAACATTCCACACATGCGGAGAAGCAACAAGCTACCGAACCAGAAGCAACAGCTAGCAGCCAGCAGCTATGTCTGTCGGGGACGCGGCGTATTGACATGCAAAAGTTTAGAAACACGGATTTCCTTGTCCTGAGCGCAGGCAAGAGCAACACTTGGTGAAACAGGATACGGCTGTCGAAACCATGGGTCATGGCTGGTTTTCGTAATAGCTAGTTATTTACATTATTTGAAGCTTCAAATGTGTGAAAAGTCGCTCGGTCTCTCGTCGTTGAACAAGATGGCAGCAGCAGCAGCATCGATGCAGGATTTGACTGTGGTGCTGGTCCTCGTTGCTAGCCTGTTCCTTCACGCTCTGGGTGATATTATTTAAGGTAATGTTATGTCACCTTATTTTGCTGAACTTGTTGTCAGATACGTTTTCTGTATTACGGTTTGTATTTGATCGTTTCAACGTTGAAAGTACTCAAAGCTAGCTCATGTGCTAACTGTTAAGCTAGCCAACTTCTGTTTGTTCCCTTTAGCAGACAAGTGTTAGCAGCGGAAGCTAATTAGTTTGAGCTAACGACGAATAGATAACGTTTGTTATTCAGGAAACTATTACGAGCCTTCACCCATGCTTTAACTTTCAGTAACTTTAGCAGTGTATTTTGGGAGATGTTAATCGTCGATATGGAAATAGAATTTATATAATAATATAATGCTACTCTTGTCTTGCAGTAAGTATAAGTTGGCCAGTTGGGTAAAGTAGGTTATCACCTACCCTACCTTGTTCAACACACACATTATTTAGCTGCCTGTCACTTAAAACATAAGTTTCAACAGGTGTTTAGGCTGGTGTCGCCCTTCCCCCAGACACACACACAGGCGCGCACACACCACCCCTCCCATATGTTAACTGTCTCCTAGATTAATCAGTAACAAATTGCGTGTACAGCTGGCATTCGTTTACAACGGCAAAACACACACATGCGCACACACTACTGTGTCATGGCTCTCCATTTCAGGCTCGGGTCTTGTTGCCCTGTGGGATATCAGGCTACCTATTTTGGCAGTGAGGGGATCTAGCAGGAGGTAACAGCTGTGTCTGTGCAAATGTCCCTTAAAAGACGGATCGGTATGGCACATTGGCAAGCATACACAAGACGAAGTATTTGCACCACGCCAGCCATATGGTGATGGTTCTTCTCCTATATTGCCTGTAACTTTTGTCAGTTGCATCTTCAAGTTGTTATTTGCCATATTTGCAGCTGTATATGTGTTAAATGAAGAAAGTGATCTACTTAGCAATGGCAGAGCATTGCTAGCTTTCTGAAAAACCGTTTTCCTTGGTTGAAAAGAAAGCTTGTAAATGACAGTGGTTGTTAATCTCCGTCAGCAGTAAAACTCACCAGCCCCACAAGTTATGAGAAGTGAAGTGTGTTGTATTGTCACGTTGCCGTTGAGGCGCACCTCTCTGCCTGTCTGAGCCTGTGTGTGACAGCTTCAGTAGTTTGGAAGGCCGCTGGCTCTCAGCAGGCCCTTGGTGTCAAACAAAACTCTGTGCTTAAGACAACTAGCTTCACAAGTGTGTTTTTGTAACGCGTGATGTAGCCTTCAAACTGGATTCACCCAGTGGGGCACAATCTATGTCTCTGTTTGGATGTATTCAGGAAGTGTGGCTGACCGGATTGGCCTCTACTCTGTTTTAGGCCTGTTCTCATGGCATCATGGCTTGCTGCAAGGAGAGGAATGTCCCTTTTTAAAAAAACAAAACAAAACAACAAAACAAAAAACTCAAAGAGGAACATTGAAATATGGTGATTGAAAGTGGGAAACAGTCTCTCACTTGTGACAACCTATCTGTTACACACTCTATTTAGTATGATCAGTTAAAGGAAAAAAACTTTGTTATACAGCCACAAACAGGCATGACTGGCATGTGTGAAACTGATTAGATAGATTAGTATAGTATTGAATGTGTTAGTAGTTGAAACAACAAAGTTCTGGTCACTGGTAGGGCTGCATGAAAAATAACAGACAGCAGCCCGTACAGCTCACAGTTGACTCTCTTTGTAAAAATGTACTTATTTAAATAATTCAGTTTTTGGTATTGAAACAGATCAAAAGTGAGGATGTTGCTTGGTGGTCATCACACTAAGTAACAATATTAATGTGCATGGTTGAAACTATGTTTGAGTAGCGTCACAGACAGTAAGGGTTATCAATCCATGTAATCAGTAACAAGTCATTTCAGTGCATAGGTGTATTTGCAAAATGTCACTGACTTACAGAACACTCATCACACTTAATGAGTTATCATATCCCACTGGGGTACTGCTTGCTTTGCGGTTCTACTCTGTGTGAAACTGACCCACCTGTGTAGCGTGCAGGGGCAGGCCAGGGATGCAACGGGCTTCCCCCATCTCCCTTTACATTAGGACAGTTCCCCTTTCCAGTAAGGGTGACATGATGGCTTAGATGTGTTTTTGGCAGCTTTTATTACTGCTTTATTTAGACAGCACCCTTTCACAGGATGATTGTGATAAGAAGCTGCTAGTTTGCTATTAACCAGTTCACTTGTCCGTGTACACAATTTTGGCGTGAATGGAGTTTTTGTGCAGTGACTGAACCTTTGTTTAGTATATTTGCAAGTTAGCGAAAGCCCTCAGGACATTAATTAAGCATGTAGACAAATTCTGACCCTTAAGCCTGAAAACCTGTTTGTGTCAGCTTTGTACCCTGACTAAATGAAACATGTGGCTTGTGTTTTCTCTGTCCTTCAGGTATGGCCTCACAAGTCTTGGTCTACCCATCACACCTGCACTCAGCTCAAACAAGTGCCTTAAGAACCAGCCACAGTGGTACCAGCAGACACAAAGACGAAGCTCACCGCAGTAATAACACCAGCAAAGCCTTTCAGCACAGAGCCCCGCCCAAGACCTATGTGATAGGAGTCAACTACGGTATCGCCTATCCCAACAACGTTATCCCATCGTCAACCGGTGCTGATTTAGGAAGACTGCACAGTGGACTACAGCTTGGAGAGAGGGAGGAGTGGGTGTTGCAGACTGCAGGATTACAGAGAGAGGAGGGCAGGGAGAGACAAGGAGAAGTTCCAGGTGGGGTCCAGGAGACTCTTTTCCGGAGTCCACAGGAAGTGAGGCTTCATAGAGACAGTTGTGGAACTCCATCAGAAGGAGTATTGGACTGTGGGCTACTAAGGGGGCCATATTTTAGAGAAGACAAAGAAGAGGGCACAAACGGAAGAGTACACGCGAGGGGAGCATACTTTGACCTTCGAGACACAGGTGCCATCCAGAGATGTGAACGGAAGGCAGGTAAAGGTGGAGAACATCCGCTGGAGAACAACTGCGTCGGAACCATGCAGATAGTGGAGGAGGAGTCTGCTCTACCTTCACTTCCTCCCCCTGTGGCCATGTTGCAAACCAGCACTGTGAACAATGCAGAGACTGTCAGAGTAGGGGGTGGAGGGACATTGCCTAGTCATAACAGGGTTGAGGCAGTGACCGGGATGGATGGGACCAAAATGAGGCCTAACGGCAGTACTGAGGCAGTGGCAGGAGCTACAGTGACCAGGACTGGATCGGGAGATGGTGACTATCAGTTAGTTCAGCACGAGGTTCTGTGCTCCTTGAAGAACAGCTACGAGGTCTTGGAGTTTCTGGGTCGGGGCACCTTTGGTCAGGTGGTGAAGTGCTGGAAGAGAGGAACAAATGAAGTGGTGGCTGTCAAAATACTGAAGAACCACCCATCCTATGCACGTCAGGGACAGATTGAGGTAAGGCTTTGTTTTTGTCGTGAGAGTAGAGTAAATGTGTAATCAGTGTTTTAGTTTTTGTTGAGGCATTAGACCAGCAGCTAACAACAGCAACACTTCTTCTAGTATAATTTTTAATTACAACAAAGGCAGAGTTTGATCTTTTTAGATGCTAAAGAATTGTCTATCTGCTAAAGCTTTATTCTGGATTTTCTTTACACCTGACTGTCTGAACTGAAGTTGTTTTTTTGGTTTTTTTTTTCTTCTGTGTTCCTGAACCCCCCAGGTGGAGATCCTGGCCCGGTTGAGCAGCGAGAATGCAGATGAGCACAATGTGGTGCGTGCTCTGGAGTGTTTCCAGCATCGCAGCCACACCTGCTTGGTGTTTGAGATGCTGGAGCAAAACCTGTATGACTTCCTTAAACAGAACAAGTTCAGTCCACTGCCACTTAAAATCATCAGGCCTATTCTGCAGCAGGTAAAGTGATGTACATGGATATAACCCATACATGCAGATACTTTTTCTTTTTCTGATGCAGACACAAAGGAGATCATGTTTTGTTGAGGCTTGACATGTCCACGCCCAATTTTGTATAAATCTTTGTAGGTTGCAATGGCCTTAAAGAAGCTGAAGTCTCTGGGTTTGATCCATGCTGACCTGAAGCCAGAGAACATCATGCTGGTGGACCCCTCCAGGCAACCCTACAGAGTCAAGGTCATTGACTTTGGCTCAGCCAGCCATGTCTCCAAGGCTGTATGCTCCACCTATCTGCAGTCCAGATACTACAGGTGAGGACTTCCGCATTCAGTTGAATCTCTGTATAATCCATCATTCACAAAGTTCAAAACTATGTTTCAGGGTATTTCCTGTTCTTAAAGCACTGCAGTGGGTGAGGCTTGAGATGACTGACATACCTATTCAACACTTGTTGTGTTTGTGTTCTTCTGTTACTCATCAAAGCTGTTCCCACAAAAATAAATTGCTGTCATTGTGAAGATTCATTAGACTGGCTTTTGTAAGTGTAGAAATGACTGCAGATTCAGTGTTATTTTCCACAACCCTGATGCCGTACATGTAATGAGAAATTGCATTTTTGAGTTATCTGTCCCATACCCGGGGATAAGCAGTGATGAACTTTGGTACAGATTTAGTTTTTTTTTTTGTGTGTGTGCATTTAAGCCAGATGATGAAATAGCATTGCACTCACCGTTTCTTGACTGCATTGGTATTAGGGCAGCGCAGTTAATACAATTTTATTTTCAATTATGATTTTGACCTCCATCAATTATGTAAACAAAATAATCGAGATAAATAAATATTGTGCTGCATTCTGTTTTGCAAAGATGCTCTCACTTTGTCTCATGTTATAAATCCAGGGCACCGCATTTCTTTACAGCGTTACTCCCTTACCCCTCCCTAAAAGCCCAAACTCTCACTCAGCCAGGCTGTGGCATGTTTAGTTCAGCTCGGGCCAAGATGATGAAGATGATGATTATAACTTGCTAGTCAACATTAGCTTAAGCCTACGGCATTTTGCTCAGCATAAATTAGCCTAGTGGCTAGGGGACCTTTCCTTTACTCATAGTGTAAGAAATTACATATTAAATGTACTCTGTTGTACCTTGCTTACTCACTGTTGGTTTAGGTAACTGTATCTCCCGATAGAACATCACAGGTGAATTTCAGCTTTATTTAAATTAACGAGTTGTTGTCAGCTCAAGTTTCAATAAATCCATGTTAAGTCATTGAGTAATTGTGAAAAAATCCGGATATCAATATTGACTAAAATAATTGTGATCATGGGTATATGTATATTAGCCATTTAGGATAAGCCATTAGTCAAATCACGCCATTTATGCAGAAGAAATATCCCACAGGTGAGAGTGAGATGTATTGCATTTTGAGTTCTATTCAGGTTTTATATGAGGAAAACCCAAAAGTCAGAAGTCAAAAGAAAGAGAGAGCTGCACATTTCCAGAAGAAACTCAGCAGGTTCAAATAGTAGAGAATGTTTAGAGATTAGATTCACAGGGTAGAATATATTTAGGAAGATCAGATATGTCATGAATTGAATATCATGCCATTTGTCATCATGATATGCCATCCCAGTTAGCTGACTTGGTCCCATGGGTAATGGTTGTTTATGTGTGTGTTTCTGTGTATTTCCCACAAGGCTTAGCAAAGTCTTGCCCCAGGTTTTATGTGTTTATTCCCTCCTCTCTCTTTCTGTTCGCCTGGCTCCCCCACTCCTTCCTGCCCGTATGCATTGTTGGACTTGTGCATGTATGTCTGATCTGTGTTGAGTTCAGTCACACCCTAAACTCTGCTGCTCTTGCATAACGTGCAGAGGAACTGAAATGTTTATATGAAGAACGGCGTCATATATTTGGCATGTCTCGTACGCTGGGGTGAGCGGGAGAGTGTTGTCATGAAACGCAGCCAGGATTGTGAATTTCCGAGACACACTGTTGTGCAAAAGAATTTCATTAAGTTATTAAGCTGTAAGCTCACATTGTGCCACACAATACAATAGGGCCAACCGCAAAAAGTAGAGGATATGTTCAACATCAAAACATCTTGTTTGATATGTAATGTACATTTTTTAATAGTCATCACGGACTTGTTGGCATGTGGATGTTAGTGGCGTTTAAGGACATCCTCCCTTGTTTCCAAGGCAAATAATTTCCTTTTCAATAACCACTGGACAACAGTCTGGCAATTTTAATCACCTGCGCTAGCAAGTTTCAGCAAGTACGTTGGTCGGGTAAACTATTGCACACCCTGCAAACATTGTGCAATCTCTGACAAATGCTGTTGAGATACTGGTCATGTCTGCAGCTAATGCACACACCCACAGTCCTGATTCATTGCCCTTTAAGAAGTACAACTTTTCTCAGTTATTTCAACTTTAATTTATGTGGTGTGGGCTTCCTGTCCTGAAGAAAACTCCTTTTACACCAAATGTAAAATAAAGGGCTTCAACGAAGCAAAATGCCAGCATTAGCCCTGGGTGCAACTTCACTATTTTTGTGAAAGCGAGCTAGTTTCTAGGTCCCCTTCTCTGAGATACTAGGAGGAGAATGGAGCTGTAGTTGTTGCATAACAAACTCTTTGCTCTGCATTTGACGTGGTTATGTGTGTATGTGTGCGTGTGTTTTGTGTTTGAGGAGCGTTGGCATTGAGTTCTAGGGAGGTCACTGAGGACACAGAAGGCCAAGGAAGAATGTGGTATGTGAAAACCCACATTTAGATCCAGGAAAAAATAACATTCAGACATTCCTGTGTGTTTCTGGGTGTGCTCATACGTGTGCCCCTGTCCATGCAACAGTTGCCAAGGCTGGATACTTCATGTAGGTTACACAATGTACTCTAACATGCTTCATAATATCTCAATTCAGATGTGATAGATGGAAAATTGGTTTGTCAAGATTGTTAACGTCACCTGCTGGAGCCACAAAGCTATCTTGGCCAGAAATCTTGTAAAGTGTTAACATCTGGCCATATCTGCTGTGCCCGCCCGCAGTGTGCAACAGTTTCAATCTAGTCTTTTTGCTCTGCAGAGAAGTGTATTTTGCCAAATAATAGAGGGCTGTTGGGTTTAACGGTTATTAAACGGTTATAAAGAGTACAGAGACTACCTTTTGGTTTATAATAGTACAGTACCACCATTACTTGCTACTTACTTGGAGTTGGTTTTGCCATGACAGCAGCTGGTAGTGTACACATTTGTTGTTTACTCTGTGTATTGGTAGGCCTGTGTGTGAGCTTGGTTAGGTAAATATTCGTATTATAGGGAGATGTCAGCACATGTTTTGCACTGCACTGTTTGTCTTGTCTATATGATTATGTAATTTGAGTCCGGGGGATGTTCAGGTTATCAGGAGAGTGGTTTGTTTGACATAGTGTCTCCTCATCTCCTCTGCTCATATTGCTTAGTGACTGTACTGTATTGTTGCCACAGTGAAGCTGTTAAGAAATGCTGGCCTCACCACAGTGGGTTGGAGTTCTTTTTTTTTCTTCTCTTTTTTTCCCCCCTCTTTTTACAACTCCGGGGTTTTCCCTGGATTTTCCAGAACCATAAGTAGTAGCACTGCCAGTAGTGTGGATTTGAGGCAAAAGTCATGAGTTTGTCTTAACACTCTAATTAAAAACACAATCTGTGAATGTAAAAAAATATAAAATAAATACGGGTTTGCATTCCTCCAATCGCATAACAACTAGCAGTTGTTATAATACACAAACCAACAATAGACAACACTAGAATCCACATTGTTAATGTATTCTGATGCTGGCAAGGGTTTGTTTACCAGCATGGGCACCTTGTAGAGTAAAACGTGCCTGTATTTTAAATTAATCTGATGAAAAAATTAAAAGATTGGCCCTTTTAACCATTAGCATAGAACACCCACTGATGGGTCATGATAAATATGAATGGGTGTGCATATGTCCCACTTACACGACTCACTACAAATCTAGATTGAACAGTTCCCATAGTGTCTGTGTCAGGGGTGTCCGTCTCAATAAATGGACTATAAATAAAACAGCTTAGGTCTCAGTTATTGCCTTTGACTAGGAGGAGTATTAATGGGACAGTATGCAGAGCTGCTGGTGCTTCTGCCTCAGGTTGACTTCTCCTGTCAGTACATTCCCATCCATTATTATTCTGGAGCATGCCCCACCTTTAAATGAGTAGCATGGTCTTGTGGTGACCACTGTATTTTATAGTAGGTGTACTGCATCTTTCTTTTCCTTTATTTTGTAAAGTGCAGATGCTGCATAGGGAGCTGGAGCTGGGACATCTACAGCTCGGGTGCTGCTTGTTGTTGTGGTGCTGCACCTCAGAGTGTTTGGGCTTGGGTTCCCAAAGCTTGAAAGCCACAGGCAGCAGAAGGTGGTAGTTGATTCAAAGCTATGGCTCAGGAGGTAGCATGTCCAGTAATTATAGGGTGCTGTTTTGATCCCCAGATCCTCCTTTTTTGCATGTTGAAGTGTCTCAAGTGAATGCTTATAGCATCTTTTATTTTCTTATGAAAATAAAGATGAATTCCACATAATTTCTAATGAAACTCTGCACAATTCAATTATTCTACCTTTGTCAATTTGTAATTGGCCCTTAATGGGTCTTGTTGGTCCACAGCAAGGCAAAGAGAATCTACATGTATGCTTTAGGTGGCCCTGGGTGTTTTTCACTTTTAGCAAACAGGTGAAACGTTTGACTGTGCCTTAATGACTAAGCACAGCTGTGTGGCTAAAAGTCTGTGGCAGAAGCTTGTTCTGCACTTCGTCATGCTGTTGTTGCCATGGCAGCATGACACAGCAGGGCCTGGTGAGGTGACTGTTCAGTCCTGTGGAGGCCGCTGACGTAAAACCACCTCCCGCAGTGGAAATGCAGCACTAGGCTATGTGAATAATTCAACTAAGCAGATCAGGTGGAAGGAAAGACGGCTATCATCTTTGCATGCTTACAGATTTGGGCACGTTGTGCTGGGCTCTTCATCTAGGTGTGATTTCTTTTGTTGCAGAGGTGTTGTTTTACACTAGCACCTAGTCACATTGCGACAGTACATGTCGTACACCTTTTGTTCAGCAATTTGATGTAGATACTCAGATATGTGCCTTTTGTTAAAATCTCTTGAATACTGAGTAAGCCCTGACACGTAGCCCCGGGCCTTCTTTCTAAAAAGCACATGTTGAGAAGTTTTGACTGACTCGCACACAGTTTTAAAGAACAAGGCTAGAAGATGAGTGGTTCTCACACAAGTGGGGACTTCTTTTGGTTGGTTTGGGA